TGGAAGATTACATTCTCCCGGATCTTGTGAGATTACATTCTCCCGGATCTTGTGAGAACATCTATGGGTGAATCTTCTTCATCCCTAATATCGTCCACTAGATATATTGTGGAGAGTGGGGTTTCTTCCATATCCTTGAGGTAGACGTCCTCGTCATCATTCTCCCAAACTCCATTGATGGTAGCATCTTTCTCTTGTGGAATTTGAGCTAACTTTTTATTATCAATCAGTTTCATAATTAAATCCTTAAATTTAAGACAGTATTCTATTGTGTGTCCCCCTGATTGATGATATGGACATTATAACTTGTCTATCCTCTTTAGTGATTCAAATGGTCTCGGTTTGAGAGGTTTAATCTTGCCACTCTTAGAGAGCATTTTGAACATATTTGCATAATTGGTCCCAATTGGAGTGTAGGACTTATTGCTCCTTTTGGGCACTTCAACTACTTGAAGAAAAAATGGCTTTTTCTTAGTAGTCTTTATAGGTGTCACCTTTTAATTGACATATAAAACTTTATTCTTGCTTTGTGCGTTCAAGAACTTCTCTAAACATGCCTATTGTTTTCTCCATTGTATATATGAAGAGCAACACATCTTCTTTAGTGGTCGATTGCTGAATTGGGGATTAATCACTCATGGCATCGAAAAAGATTTCCTCTTCTTATTCAAGGACATGAGTTTCTTCGATTGTTTTGATTAAACATGAGGGATCAACACAACTTTCCTCATCAGAAATAGCCAAGGAGTTAGAAAGTGGAAGTTTCTTCATCAACAACAACTTTGTTCATTACTTCTTGCCGCCTGGAGGGACAGGAAGTTTCTTTGCATCCACCAAGTCTTGAATGACGTCCTTCAAATTCCAACATTTCTCGGTAGTGTGGCCCTTTCCTTGATGGTACTTGCAATGGGCATTGGGATTCCATTTGGCGCTCCTTTCTTCAGATTTTGGCTCTGGAAATGGCCCAATAGGTGTGATCAAGCCTTGACTGTAAAGGCGATCAAAGGCCGCATCATAAGTCATTCCTAAAGGAGTGTAAGTTCTTTTCTTCTTGGGCAATGAATTATTAAGAGCTAACACTTTATTGAGATCAACTTGGCTTATATTGTTGTTAGTATTTTCGTGCTTAGAAGACGAAGAAGAAGGATGGTCGTTCTTCTTGTTTTTCCAAGTGTTATTATTGTTACTACCAGCAGTCTTTATTAGCTCATCCTCGATATTGATGCCGATGTCGTATATAGCTTTGAAAGTGTTCAGTGGAAGAAATTTGAGATGTTCCCTATATTTATGAGTCAGATTTTGAATAAAGAGGCGAACAACCTCTCTTTTTTTGGGAGGATCTACCAAGAGTGAAGTTGTTTCCCTCAACCTGTTCAGGTAAGTGGTGAAGCCTTCATTCTCTTTCTGTTTGAGAATGGAGAGTTCACGTTCAGAAGTTTTAGTCTGAGTGTTACACTTGTAACGATTCATGAAACTGTCGGTGACATCTTGCCAAGTCGCAGTATGCTTGGCATCTAGGGAATAAAACCATTGTTGGCAAGCATGTTCTAAGGAGAGAGGGAACACCGTAGGGAAGAGTGTTACGTCTAATCCCTTAAGAGCCATGGTTTTAGAGAACGCCTTCAAATGGAATATTGGATTGTTAGTAGGCTTGAACTTTGGAATATCATCCGTGGAGAACTTTTCAGGGAGTCTGTCCTTCACATCCAAAGGAGTGGGAGGCCGTTCCACATAAGTGAAATCCTCATAAATCTTACTCATTTGTTCCTTCAATTTGTCAAGGGTGGAAACAGTGACCTTGTTATGGTAGTGACCTTAGTGGTAAGGGTTTGCATCATGGAAGACAGTGCCTCAATGGATTTGTTGATGTTCTCAATATCTTCTTTAGTGGCCATTGAAAGGTGATAAGTAATGTGGAGATGGCAAAGTTCTCTTTGAACGCCTATTAAATCTGAGAGATTGTTGCGGTAATGACTTGAACCGTATTAATCTATCCCTGTTCTTTGACCAAGTACTGTGGAATAAAATAATTCACTTAATTTTTTGACTCATTGCTCAAGATAGGAAAGGAAGGAAAAAATAGACATTTGAAAACAGGTGAGAAAACTCCACTCATTTTTTTATTATGAAAAAAGGGTGCATGAACCTAGTATACGATCATAAACGACCTGGTGCACGACTCGAGTCGGAACATAAAGAAAGTGTGTGGACTACACTTGACTCGTGAGTGACTAAGTGATGTTATAAGACTCGTGGTATGATCATATGGCTAGACATGTGAACAATAACCAAAATGACTGACGCGGGGACCAAATCAACACGGAAGACTTAAAAAAAAGCTGACTGGACTTATTTCAAGGGCACCGTGACACGGAAAACTGTACCGTGTCACGGTACAAGCTGCCGTGACGCGGTGGGTTTTTTTTTTTTTGAAAATCCACCGTGCCACGGTGGAAATTGCCGTGCCACGGTAAACTTTCCCGTGCCACGATGGATGCTAACGTGGCACGGGAAATTTTTTTTTTTTTTGGTGCTGGAAATCCACCGTGTCACAATGGAAATTGGCGTGACACGGTGAACTTTCTCGTTACACGATGGATGCTGACGTGGCACGGGAATTTATTTTTTTTTGCTGGAAATCCACTGTGGCATGGTGGAAATTGTCGTGACACGGTGAACTTTCCCGTGCCACGGTGGATGCTGATGTGGCACGAAATTTTTTTTTTTTTTTTGCGCTAATTACTAAGTGAGTACGGTCCATTGGCAATAGTTAGTCATAAAATAATCCACCATAGACAAAGAAAGATCGTTAGGATCAAAACGACCAAACATAAACACGTAGGCACAATGATGCAAAGAATAGTTCGCAACCTAAGGTCAAGTTCTATGTTCGACTATGGTCAGGTTTATTTGGTGTCAATAGGGTACCATGGTTAAGAGTTTGGACGCGTTAGCAAGGCAGCCTCCCTTGAGGGTGTATGCCAACAGGCGGCTCCGCGAGTTCGTGATGAAATCGAACTCGACTCCATGGTTTGGGTGGATTTAATAACTCGTATGATCCCTTATTGCCATGTGAGTTTTTGGGTTGAAAGAGCTTAAATCCCCCAGGGCTAAGACGCATGTAGAACACACATGTTTTTAGAAAAATCGAAGGAAGTTGACTGTGAGAAGAGAAAACAAGCCACCAGACTGATTTTACGACTGTCGTGATATGGCAGATTCTTCCATGGCACGGCAGTCATAAAATCTGACTGGTGCCCTCTTTTCCTTCGTACGCAATCAAGTTATTCAATTTTTCCTACGGGACAGACCTAAATGCGGCGTTAAAACGTCTTTGCTTATGCAACAATGCCAAAATAATCACATGAATATTTTTCAAGAATCTTTCTAGTCTCATCCACTCATCTTAATTAAATACCAATCACTCAAATCGATAAATAACCAAGAATCCTCCCTAGTGGAGTCGCAAAATTGTAGGCTTCGTTTGAAGTGCGCCTACGTTAAAAGCATGTGTGAATATGCTTGGCACTCTTAGGAAATAGGAATTGACGTATACGATTATGGACAAGGAAAGTAAGGAGCCGCCAACAAGTTTTTAAGGAACTTGTAAACCGTTCACGGATCATTAAAGGCAACCACGATAAAGGGACAACGAAAGGCAACAACGATTGACCCGTGAAGGTTACACCCCATTCATAATCCATGAGATTACTAACTCCATATGGTTTGGAACCACGAAAGGAGGATCGGGGATGATGGTACGAAGTGAGTCATGGAGTCACATTCGCCCGTATTGGCCTCTACTCGATTCTTATAGTGAAAAGTGATTCCTGCGATCTCAAAAGCATACAAACAGAGATTTAATTTGCTCCAATCTATTATTAAGCTAAATTGGTTTAATATTAATGCAACACATAATTCTAAAATATTTTTGATCACTTGAATTAAACAACAAGATTAAAAAGGAACCTAAACCGGTTGTCCAAATTATCTTATTAGGCGTGATTTTCAATTACATATTCCCTTTAAACATGCAATATGATGATCATAAATAATAATAAAATAAACATTAATATTAGAAGAAATTTAACCATAATTCCAACAATATAAAATCGTTAGAAAAAATAATAGAAATAAAAGGAACATAATTCTTTCTTTGATTCTGTTTGCTTGCAACTATAAAATAATAAACGAGTTAGTAACTTCAAGGAAATAATAATAAAACAATAGTTAAATTAAATTAAATTAAATAGAATTGATTTGGAGCCAAACCCTCAAACAGTTCTACCTTTCACGCCTTAGCTTAAGGACAGAACCACGAGTAAAGTATGGACTTCAAGTAAAGGAATTTTGAAAGAAGAAGGGTAGGCTAGTGTTTAGGCTAGAGCATATAAGAGTGAAAAATAGTGAATGATAAAAACCCTAAAAGAGTATACTGCGACATGGCACTGTGTACCGTGACACGGGAATTCCCACCGTCAGACGGGAAAAATTCCCGTGACGCGGTGAACAGTTGCGTGACGCGGGAAATATTTTAGGGTACGGGGAATAAAACGCGTGAAGGGTTTACGCGGAACGGACATGGAAACTCCCGTGTCACAGCAGGTTTCCCGTGTCACGGGAAATACCACCGTCAGACGGGACAGTTTCTCGTGACACGGTGGACTATTGCCGTGACGCGGGAATTTTTTGTCCGTTTTTCTGTCTAAATTCATTTTTAACCCTAATTTCGTTCAGCATTTTAAGTGTCGATTGATAATTTTGGGCCATTTCCGATTTATTATTATTTGGGCTAAAAAAAAGAAAATAAGTAAATAAAATAAATAAAAGGTTTGGGCCAAAAAAAATAATAAAACAATAAAATAAAAAAAAGGTTTGGGCTAAAATTAAAAAAATCTATGCTTTGACCAAACATCAAGACTGGTCCATGGACTATCAAAAAATTGAATTTAATTCAATACGATTTTTTAAGAATTCTCGGGATTAAATACTGAACCCGACCAATAGTGACGGTGAAAGGTTGTTCATCATCGGGTTTGGTTTTGGGGAGACATTTTTAGGTGTCTACAGTAGCATGACCTCCACCGCTGCCCAAGTCGTCTCGAGGGTCTCGATGCTAAGGCTGCAATGTAGAACAAATGGTGTTGTTGAACCCAGATAGGCGGTTCATCATCTCGTCCATAATCTCCTTGTTCCGTCTCTCCATTGCAGCAATCTGGGTAGAAACTTGGGCCTGGACCTGGGCCGCAACTTGCTCTTGCACTTGAGACTCGACTCGAAACTGAATCTTGGCCTCCATGTCAGTTCGCATGCTTTGCACCCTCTGTTCAAATTGTTCCTGCATCTGAGTTACAATGGACAGCGTGTACTGCCCGGAAGAACAGATTCCTCTCTCTTGAGGGGTGCCATAGTAGAACTCTCCACTTTGGCCAAGACCCTTAACAAGGTCCTTCTTCCGCCCACCTACGGTCTCCCTATACAGCTGATTCGGGCTCTTTTCAACCCTTTGACTAGTTTCTTCCTCCAGTTTATTTTGATAGGTCTCTTGTAATTTTGAATTGCAAATATTAACATAAAAGATGAATTTATTTTCTATAAGTGCAAACAAGTAAATATAGTGAACTACCCAAGTTTTGAGTTCTATAGGCTCATTCGGAGTCAAATTAGAGGTAAACACCCTAATCCTTTCCCGATTATTTATATATTAGCCAAACAAGTTGATTCATGTCTCTAACATGACACTTACATACATGTATGACTTAAATGATCTCAACTAATCCTAGAATTTGAGTTTACGCCATCTCTATACCCCAAAGGACTTTAAAGTCACCCTATGAGCTTCTACAATGCCCATAATCCTTTTATTTCGTCAAATGATTCAGTTAAGACCTCTTATTTGCATAATAAATGTATTTATTTAGTTTCTATAAGTGTAAACAAGTAAATATAGTGAACTACCCAAGTTTTGAGTTCTATAGGCTCATTCGAAGTCAAATTAGAGGTAAACACCTTCTTCATTTCCCAATTCTTTATATATTAGCCAAACAAGTTGATTCAAGCCTCGAACATGACACTTACATACATTTATGACTTAAATGATCTCAACTAAGCCTAGCATTTGAGTTTACGCCATCTCTGTACCCCAAAGGGCTTTAAAGTCACCCTATGAGCTTCTACAATGCCCATAATCCTTTTATTTCATGAAATGATTCAATTAAGGGATATTATGTGCATAATAAATGTATTTATTTAGTTTCTATAAGTTCAAATAAGTAAATATAGTGAACTACCCAAGTTTTGAGTTCTATAGGCTCATTTAGAGTCAAATTAGAGGTAAACACCTTCATCCTTTCCCAATTCTTTATATATTAGCCAAACAAGTTGATTCGAGTCTCTAACATGACAATAACATACATTTATGAATTAAATAATCTCAACTAAGCCTTGAATTTGAGGTTACGCCATCTGTATACCCCAAAGGGCTTTAAAGTCACCCTATGAGCTTCTACAATGCCCATAATCCTTTTATTTCATGAAATGATTCAATTAAGGGATCTTATATGCATAATAAATGTATTTATTTAGTTTTTATAAGTCTAAACAAGTAAATATAGTGAACTACCCAAGTTTTGAGTTTTATAGGCTCATTCGAAATCAAATTAGAGTTAAACACCTTCTTCATTTCCCAATTCTTTATATATTAGCCAAACAAGATGATTCAAGCCTCTAACATGACACTTACATACATTTATGACTTAAATGATCTCAACTAAGCCTAGCATTTGAGGTTACGTCATCTGTATAACCCAAAGGGCTTTAAAGTCACCCTATGAGCTTCTACAATGCCCATAATCCTTTTATTTCGTGAAATGATTCAATTAAGGCCTCTTATGTGCATAATAAATGTATTTATTTAGTTTCTATAAGTCAAACAAGTAAATATAGTGAACTACCCAAGTTTGAGTTCTATAGGCTCATTCGAAGTCAAATTAAAGGTAAACACCTTCTTCATTTCCCAATTCTCTATATATTAGCCAAACAAGTTGATTCAAGCCTCTAACATGACACTTACATACATTTATGACTTAAATGATCTCAACTAAGCCTAGAATTTGAGGTTACGCCATCCTTATTTTATGAAATGTTCTGCATTTGAGTGTTCTAGTTCCTTATTTATAAAAAAAAAGTTGAATAAAATCTGATTATGTATAAGTTATTACCGCAATCAGCTTGGACTTAGCATTAGCAGGCACCTTTCCTTTCCCAGGTATGTCCTTGAAGTGAGTCTTTAAAAAAAGTTCAGGGGCTGATGGCAACTTGCCTCCATCTTTCAAAGCCTTTAAAATAACCAAACACAAAATGTCATTAAATCATACAAATTATTATGCCATACTAATTAACAAAGCTTCCTAAGTAGTATGACACTCACCATCCTCTTAGCATGTTGTGCTGCCGAGATGGAACCTTGAAAGTGGGATGGCTCAACCACATTTGACATGGAACCACCTCTCCTATTCAACTTGTTCTGCTTGGACCTCTTTTTATGAGTTTCATTTTTCTTTTGGAATAGCCATCCTTTTCTTGTGAAGGTCTTCATTCACCCAGTAAGGTTTTGCTCCTTTCATCTTCTTTGTGACTGTGTAGAACATGTCTCGTAGTCTCTCACTAGCCTTCATGTTGAATCTCCTCTTCACTTGGTCCTCCAACTCAGGTGGCCATGTGAATTTTTTCTGCAATTGCAACTACCATTTGGTTAGCACACTATACTAAAAAAGAGAATGTATGTATGTGTATAACTACTTATTCTCTAAAAAAAATATCGTACACTTTACAAGTTCCACCAATGTGATTTGGTGCCAGCATCAACCTCCCCGTAATTCATCCAAGGTTCTCGGTAGTAGCCTTGTATTGAACGAGAGACAGCCTTTTTCATAGGTTCATCTTCGAACCTACCATATACAAAAATCACGTATGTAACATAATATGAGATAGTGATGTATATAAAGTATCAAATTCATTTGAATTAATAATAACAAGCTACAAATTTAGTATTACTACTTACCACAGGTTAGAAGGATCCAAAGCCAACCTACCAAACGGGTTAGAGGTTTTCCCCTGCAAAACTGTCGACGTATGATGCAACTGGGTTTGGGTTTGAGATTGGGTCTGGGTGTTAGGAACACTAGTGTCACCCAAGTTCACTGCCTCCTCCTCCTCATCACTATCGTCCTCTTGAGTTGCAGAAGTAGGGACCAACTAACTATCTTCTAAATGATAAGGAGGGTGTTCACGTGACTTTCGCTTCTTGGTCCCTTTCACTCGCTTGCCACCAGCCATACCTGATCCTGAAACAGACATTAGTAACAAAATCCAATAATAATAATAATAATAATAATAATAGTCAAATACGCTAACATTACAAGGCATTTAAACGTCATACATAAGTTACATTTCCATTAAAGTTTGAGTCTTCAAAAAAAAAACACAAGTGGAAATACATCATTTAATGTACGTAAAACAACATTAGGATCATAGTACTTCTAATCACTTTCATCAACACTATCATTAAGACCACTATCACCATCACTACTAACATCATCAGAACTATCATCAAAAAAGAAATCAGCGACCTCTTCTTCCTCGCTATCACTAGAACCTACGCTAGATTCATCTTCATCATCGGATACCATGTCATCATCCTCTAATTCATCCTCATCATCAGTTAGCGAATCGTAGTCGGGAATATCATTTGGTGGACATAATGTTGAAGATTCTTCAAATGTGGTTTCCTGCAAAAAGAATAAGTCCACTGGAGCATCGACAACCGACCTCGCATGAGTCTTAAAAACAGCCCACCATTGAAGTCGATCCCTTTTCAAGCTCGGGTATGATGCAAAGTACACCTGACTAACTTGGTAAGTTAAGACAAATGGGTCGTATTTCGGGTATTTCTTAGTATGATTTACTTCCACAAGTTTGTAGTGTTCATGTATGTTCATACCTCTAATAGAGTCAATCCATTTGCACTTAAGCAACATAGTCTTGTACACTCTCTTGGGGCCTCTATACACAAGTTCTATTATGTCATCTAAAATACCAAAATACTCTCCTCCATCCGCACTTGACACACCAACACCATAATTCATAGTGGATTTGAATTTGCCATAATCATATGTATGGAAATTGAATCCGTTGACAAATATTTGACTCCAAGTGCGTACACGCTTGAAAGGACGCATAGCCAAAGCTTACAAGACATCGGATCTTGGTTTTTCTTCAACCACCTATCAATGTATGATGATTGAACATAACAAAGTGTTATTGAAATGACGGTGGAAAATCTACTTATCGTAATAATTGTAGTTTAGATATGGATCAATCACCTTTTTATGAAACCAATCCGGAAAATTAACTTCAAATTTTTCCATTACTTCTTCTCTACGCAAAGAAGGTTGGGTACTAAGAATGTGGTCCTCAAACCTTCTGTTAGGTGGAGATCAAGTGTTAAGTGTTGTTAAGTCAATCATTTGTTTGTAAATTATTGTGTTAATAATGGATTTACCTTTCATATTCTCCTAAAATTCCGCTGTTTGATAACACAAACAAGTGAACACGCTCAAGTTCATTGTCATCTAAAAAACGAGTTTTCCCCTCATTTGGCACTCGACCTCTATCAACTGAGAATAGTTCAGGGACTTCATCTTCATTGAAGATGGGGTCAACATCGGCATTGACATTTCGGCCTAGATCTCTTGTTTTGGTGTCAATGGTTTCTTGAAAGTAATATAATGTGAGAAGAAGTTTGCAATCTCTTCGGTAAGGTAGGTGTTGCATATTGAACCTTCGACACGGGCCTTGTTACCGATATTCCTTTTTATATAATTGAGGAACCTAAAGTTTTAATTATAAAAGTGTAAACTAGTTATGAGTATAAATATATAGAGAAATGAGTTGATAATGTTTAAAAGGATGCACTTTGAAAATAAGATAATGTTACCTTTCGAATGGATACATCCATCGATATTGAACGGGACCACATAACTTTCTCTCTAACAGAAAATGCATTGGTAAGTGCTCCATGGAGTTAAAGAATGAGGATGGAAAAATCTTTTCAATCTTGCAAAGAATCTCATCAATGTTTTCCTCTAATCGTTCCACATCACTAACTTTGATTGTATAGGAACATAAGTCGCAAAAGAATTGACTAATCTCAATAATTGCATTCCAAACATGGGTAGGAAACAACTCTTTCAAAGCAATTGGCAACAACCTTTCCATAAACACATGACAATCATGGCTTTTCATCCCATGGAGCTTACATGCTTGCAAATCAACACATCTACTAAGGTTCAAAGCATATAACCATCGGGAAACCTTAGTGGACGAACCCACTCACACAAAACCTTTCTCTGAGCCTTGTCAAGAGAGAATGGAGCCTTTGGCATGGTCTCTTTCCCTCTATCATCCTCCTCAAGATGGAGTTGTGGTCGTTTGCAATACTTAGCAATGTCTTTTCTAGCGGCTGGAGTGTCACACGTATGCTTTTCCACATCCATAATAGTGTGAATGAGTTGATTGAAAAAATTCTTTTCAATGTGTATGACATCTAGGTTGTGACGAACGAGCAGATGCTTCCAATACAGAAGTTCCCAAAGAGTGATTTGCTTAAACCAACCCTTTTTCGCCTTTTTCAACCTTTTAAGTGCTTTTGGGCCATCAGTTGCCTTTGGAAGGTTTTTGACACATTCCCACAACTCTTCCCCTGACATGATGTGTTGAGGTTCTCCATTTTCCACTCTGTTTCTACAAAATATAGTTTTACTCTTTCGAAATGGGTGATCGGAAGAAAGAAATTGGCGGTGGCAATCGAACCAAGAAACTTTTCCACCATGATCAAGCCAAAACGCTTTGCTCTTTTCATGCAATATAGGCAAGCTTTATTACCGACTGTAGACCATCCAGACAACATACCATAAGCAGGGAAGTTACTAATAGTCCATAAAATGGCTGCTTGAAGATTGAAATTTTGTTTCCTTGAAATATCATAAGTATTTGCACCCACTTACCATAACTGTTTCAACTCTTCAATAAGTGGTTGCATATACACATCTAAATTCCCCTTCAGGTTTCTAGGACCGGGAACCAGCAAGGAAAGGAACATGAATTTTCTTTTCATGCACATAGATGGAGGCAAGTTATAAGGGGTCAAAATGACCAGTCAGCAAGAATATTAACCCCCAAACTTACCATGGGGAGAAAACCCGTCTATACACATCCCAAGACGAACATTGCGAGGTTCAGAGGCAAACTCGAGAAAGGACCTATCTAGGTGTTTCCATGCTTCACTGTCACTGGGGTGTGCCATTGTGCCCTGGACTCGAGGATTCTTAGAGTGCCAAGTCATTTCCTCAGAAATGTTTTTAGTTGCAAACATCCTTTGCAATCTTGGTGTGATAGGGAAATATATTAGGACATTCAAAGGCACTAAACTTTGTTTAGAAGTCCTCTTGTATCGATCGCTACCACACACCTTGCACGTAGACAACTCTTCATCCTCCTTCCAAAACAACATACAACCTTTCGGACATGCATGAATCTTCTTATGAGGAAGCTCTAATCCCTTAACAATTTTATTCACATCAGAGAATGTTTGGCCCATGTGGTTGTTGTTAGGAATTGCTTCACTCATCAAAGAAGCAAATCCATCAACACACCTGTACGGTAAGTTATACTCATACTTTAGGCTAGTAATTCTAGAGGCCATATCTAACACAGACATAGAACTCCCTTCGTATAGAGGTTGATCAGCTGCCTTCAACATGTCCAAAAATTTCTTTGCTTGTGTGTCTGGCTCCTCCTCTTGATCGCTCGGATCTCCCTTACCTAGTTGGTCTTGATCATAACCAAGAGCATCCACAACTATTTCACGATATGTATTAGAATGGTCTTGGGGGGGATCGGGAAACCCTTCGCCGTGACACATCCACTCATGGTAATCATCTACAAAACCCTTGCCATACAAATGAACTTTAACCGTGTCCGGATCATGGAGATGTAAGTTCTTGTATTTGACACAAGGGCATCAAACTTCATTGGGGTTACTGTTCTCAAGATGATCTTTGCAATACTTCATGAATTCATCAACCCCTTTCAAAAACTCAGGCTTAAGCTTAAGCCCATCCAACCTGTCATACATCCAACTACGCTCCCTTCTTTTCATGATTACAACTTCTACACAACTTATGCATGTAATCACATTAGTCACAAAACAACTAACAATAGTGCAAAAAATGATTACAAGATCCACAATGACATTTAAAATGCATATAAACAACTTACTTACATATATAATTATATATGTGTATATGAACTAAACTACATATAGCAAAAATTAAACTACTATATATAACAACATATTTAAACTAGACTAGCATACATAGCAACATATATAAACTCAACAATCTACTAACATATAATGAAACTAAACTAACATTTATAAACTAAACTAACATATATAAACTAAACCTCAAGTTAATAAAGAATCAAGTTAATAAACTAACATTTATAAACTAACATTTATAAACTAAAATAACATATATAAACTAAACTTACATTTACTAGAAAAGTTTTTGAGGTTTATATACATATTGAGGAGTAAAAAGCTAATAAAGAATTAAGTTAACTACATATTCGGAAGTTAAAATTTACTGAGTAGGTATTAAAAACAGTTGCTGCCATACTAAAGAGGCACTATCAAAGACATCAACCTATGACAAATCTACACAAGCCATCAACGTTAAAATGTGTCAAAAAAATAAATTCAGCAGTGTCTTCTTAAGTTCTTATCCCTTTGTTTGCCAAAATCTTTTCATATGATTTAACTTAAATGTCATGTAACCTAGGGTAAAACATCAACCAAGATCTTAGCATAACTTCAAAGAACTATCCTAATCTTCTAACCAAAGCACCTTCTTATTCTTCTGACTTGACATTAGATACACTCATGCAATGAACTTGGCAGAGCAAACAGTAACATCATTCAATTTAAATAATTTCCTTTCAACCACAAATCAGTTCTACGAAACCCAACTAATAGCATTTATAAGTTATATGTTCCTTTATCTTCTTACATTGACAACTGCTCAATCTATTATTGCCTCACATTCGTGTTTAGCATCATGTATGAAACTCTGCATTTTAAATTTATAAAGTAACAAACCCTAAAATTTTTTTGAATGAGATTTGATTCTATAATGAATTTCTAAACAATTAATTTGTTTCATCCCCAAAACACACCAAAAATAAATTAATTTGTACCATTTTTTCTACTAATAACTAACACACATATAAAACTATAAGGACATTGGAAAAAATAACCACTAACCTTTGAATTTGAACTATTTTTTGAGGAGCAAACACAGTAAATCTACAAATCCTTAAAAAAAAAGTGAATAAAAAAATTAAAATTACAAAACTTAGGGTTTATGGGTAATTAATTAAAACTAAAAAAAATAAAATAAAAAATAAAAAATAGAATTACCTAGTGGCCGACGAACGAAGGTCTGTTGGAGGGAGAGGGTGAGCTAGTGGCTGGTGGTGGGTGGTCTGAGGTGGTGGAGGATTTTCGGTTAGCATAAGAAACGAAATTAAAAAAAAAAAAAAAAAGTCGAAAGGAAGAGGGTTACCTAGTGGCCGACGATTGATGAGTTGAGGGGGAGGAGGAGCGTCAGCGGATGGGGAGCAGCGCCGGAGGGGGAGCAGCGGTGGGGGGGCAGCGGCGGAGATTTTCCTTCTCTCTCTTCCCCTTCTCTCTCTCTCTCCTTCTCCTTTTGTTCGAAAATGCCCAAATGAATCTGAGGGTTTTTTTTTAAGTTCAACACATTTCCGACGGCTATTCCTATGGATAAAAGCCATCGAAAATTATATTTCCTATGGATATAAACCATCGGAAATATAAATTTCGATGGCTTTTCCATCTGATATACGCCGTCGGAAATTTCCTATGGCTAATTAACCATCAGAAGTTCTTTTTTCGAATTTTAAATTTTAAAAAAACACATTTCCTATGGAAAAAAGCCATCAGAAACTATTATTTCCTACGGCTTAATAAACCATCGTAATTTTTTGATGGCTAAATCCATCGAAAATTTTATTATCCATCGGAAAAATACGAGGGGTTTCGGAACCATCGGAGTTTTAAAATTTTTCGACGGTTTTTATAGGCCATTGGAAATAAGCCATTTTCTTGTAGTGCTTTCAAGAGTTATATTCCAAGATGTGGATTGTCGATCGTAGCAAAGTTCTTATGACAGATTGTTATGAAGCATTGGCAACTTTTCCCAAAATTGGATTTTGGCAAATTTTTCGAGATACGGATTGTCACTTCATTGTAGCAACATTTCAAAGGATGGATTGTTACATGGCATTGACAACTTTCCCTAAATCGGATTGTCATACATCATACAAGAGTTGTGTTGGCAACTATTCCCAAAGAAAAGAGGATTGTCATCACCCAAAGCATCAACAACAAAATTCAAGCAGCATTAAGGATCAACAAGCAGTGGTCTTTTCAAAGACTATCACGGCGAAATTGGAGGCAGTTACAGGCGTAGCAGTCTTCAGGCGGTATTCTCTAGCTTGCATAAGATCGACAAAACAAACAGCATCATGGCGTTCCCTAGCTTGCGGAAGGTTATCACAACAACAACAATGCAACAGCAACAAATCGGTTACCCTCAGAGACGTGTGCTCGACGGTGCAAGATATGCGTTTCTTAACTCTCTTATCTATTTGAACTAATGCTAGTTTTGCAAGTATCGGCGTTACAAGAATGATTTAGGATTGCAGAACGTTATGAATCATTCTTCGTCCCTATCGATACTTTGACTTTTGTTTTCGAAACTTGTGTTTCTCCAAACTCAGTCAAAGTGGGGGCTTCTGTAGACACCCATTTGTGTCTCCCCAAAACCAAACCCAGTGATGAATACCTTTCATGTCATTTGATTATCGAACAAAGTGAAAGTGTAAAAAGTCTAGTGATGAGGAAGTTTTTATTAAAATATCTCTTCTTTCTTTTTTTTTATTAAAATATCTATTCTTTCTGTTTTTGAAAATATTTATTTTCTTACTCTATTTTTGAAAAACGTGAATTCCAGTTTAGTTTGGTCCATGATATGAGTCAATAATAGTGTATTTGGATGAGGTTTTAAAAGACATTTCCAACGATATATTATAAGCCTAATTCCGATGAATAATGAGGAAGTTATGGCAAAATACTAAACCGGGCTCGAACCGGATCTTACCTACAGCCCAATGATCATGTGGAGGGTCCAAAGGTCTAATCCTATTCCTAAACTAATTAGGAATAATTAGAAGCTTCTATAAGTTTTTAAAATATCTTAATTATCCTTTTTGAAAAGATAAGATTAAAGAATTTGAGTTAAATAAAAACATTCCTTTTATAAAAACATTCCTTTTCTTAAATCCTAATTCTATTCGAATTTAAAGATGTTCAAAGGCAGTCAGATTTTATTTTCGTGCCTCATAATATTTATCCAAATTTTATATATTTGGATAGATCTTGAAATTACCTGTCCAATGATATATTATAATATTAAATCCGAGTTTTAACGAAAAAGATATGAATGATATATGAAACTCTATCCAAAACTGACACCGTCCTACTATTTCGGCCATATTTTTTTTATCTACAAAATATTTTATTCCGATTATAATTGGGTTAGAAATTATACTTCAAGAGCTTTCCAACGACATATTATATGCCTTATTTGGACTTCTGGATCAAAAGATATGATAAAAACAAAATCTGCAAAAACTGATGTCCATCGAGTTTTATGTCGATTCGAATTCGGATTCTTTTCTTATTCTTCGACCCTCTTTTTTCTCTATAAATAGAGGTCATATCTCCCCTTTTTCAATCATCAACTCTCATCAAGAATTTCTTGATTCTCTCTCCCTCTTTCTAGCCTAGCCTTTTACAAAAATAATTCCTCATACATTAGCACTAGACACACCTAGCCAAGTTCGAAGTTGCTTTCGCCCTAGACGTGAAAGGTTTGATATTTCTGAGGGTTTGGTCCCTAATCTCTATTTCAATTAGTTAATTTAATTCTTTGATTTTATATTTTCGTTGAAGTTACTAATGTGTGTATTTTGTTATTAGAAACAGATACGAAGCATACAAGTGCTTTAATTGATTTTAATGATATTATGATATAGAAATCATATATAGGTTGTTATTATGATTCCTAGTATCATGTTAGGATGCTTGATGTTTTGAATGACAACAATGATTCCTTGTATTTTATTTAGGGAAAAGGTTATAATATCAAATATGCTTATTATGATTCCTGCGATGCTTCCTATATTCTTTTCCTAATATTCATGATAGTCTCATGTTAGGGCTATATATTTGATCTTTGATGTTTAGTGACATGCTAGGGTTTGTTATTAATCTTGTTAGTATCATGCATAGGATCTTGCTATTATTATGCTTTAACATGAACATGATTATTTCTATGATTTATAATTATTTTGATGATGATTATTATTTTTATTTAACTATTATTATTATTATTATTATTATTATTATTATTATTATTATTATTATCATGTTTATTATTATTTTGAATTATTATATTGCTTGATATTTATTGTTATTGCTTGATCACGCCTTTTATGCATGTTTAAAGGGAATTTATACTTGTAATCACGCTTAATAAGATAATTAATAATCTTATTTATGGTTAATGTGATTATAATTCAAGTGATCGCCAATAATAGATTTGTTTGTGCATTAATAATCAACCAACATAGATAAACAGGTGTAGGGTAATCCTATTGATTGCATGTTAGTCAGAAAGCGCACATGAGTACGATCAAAATAAAGTATAGGCCTATTATTAGGGCAGGTTCAATCTCTTTTAGGTTGGATTTGTACTTTCATCCCCGAACTACCAGTCATGGTTCCAGACCTATTGGAGTTAACGTTCTCCTGGATCATTAAGGGGTATAACCTTCACCTCGTGAACGGTTTACAAGTTCCTAAAACTTGTTAGTGAATCTTTTGGTCTATCTTCTTTCCCTTTGGACGCCACCATGCTTAAGTGTATGATCACAGTGGGATTCAAGCTAGGGATAATGCTTGAAATATTCCTTACACCTTACCTTTGGAAGGGTTGGCGCGTGTGTATGGGACCCCGCGAGTTAAACTTGCTTCCACGTTTTGGTGAATTCAACAAACTTGGATGTACCCTCATTGCCAGGAGCGTTCGATTGGGTAGATGGAGCGTCAATTCCCAGAGGGTTATTGCCATATGTAGAACACATATGGGTTTTGAAAAAGGAAAAAAAAACTCAATCAGGAAGTAAAACCGAGCAAACAGTACTAGAACTGGTCGAAACAAGAATGTAGATTTCAGGCTCGGCATTAGAAGAACTCGGTGCGCGACTACAGTGCCCATCGCACAACTATGGCTCTGTCGCCAGACGACAAATACTGTCACCAAACGAAATAGTCGTCGCATAGCGATTGCACTGTTTTCTCAGCACTAGTTCCTACATGCCTCAGCAGCTTTCTGTTCTTGAATTTTCCAGTTTTTCGCAGCGTTTGTGAAAGATATTTCCCTAATTTCCTACGTGTAAAAATCCTATGCTTTTAATGCATTACGGATGGTCTTTCCAATGCGGACCTTTTTTATTCTTATGCCAATAATGTTAATCAAAATTACGCAAATGAAATACTTAGAACTTTTCGAGTCTCATCCACTCATTATAAATTATTGCCAAAATAAATTTTAGGAATTAAAATAGAAATTCTCCCCAATGGAGTCACCAAAAAACTATAGGGAATTTCAAGCATCCCACACTTGAGCCCCACTGTGATCATGCATTTAAACATGGTGGCGTCCAAAGGGAAGGAATTGAAGCTAGAATAAAAGAGTTGTCAACAAGTTCTAGGGACTTGTAAACCATTCACAAGATGAAGGTTACACCCCTTTACGATCCATGAGATCTCTAACTCCATAGTGGTCTGGAACCATGACTGGATATTCGGGATGAAGGTACAAATCCAACCTAAAAGAGATTGAACATGCCTTAAAAATAGGGATCTACTTTATTCTTCTCATAGACATGAACGCTTTCTGACTAACATACAATCATTAGGTTAACCCTAAACATGTTTATCTATGTTGGTTGAATATTAATGCACAAACAAATCTATTATTGGCGATCACTTGAATTATAATCATATTACCCTAAACAAGATTATTAATTATCTTATTTAGCGTGATTACAAGTAGAAATTCCCTTTAAACATGCATAAAAGGTGTGATCAAGAAATATAAATAATAATATAATAATAACAACAAATCATAATAATAATAATAATAATAATAATAATAATAATAATAATAATAATAATAATCTCAAAGAAAGAATAGGAAGCATCATATAAACATACATGATATTAGAAATATTAGTTATTACCCTAAACATGATACTAGGAAGTAATAAAACATCCTAACATGATACTAGGAAATAAAATAATCAAAGCATGATTGCTATATGAAAATAATTATTAAAGTAATTACTTACTTAGATGCCTCGTATCTCATTCTAATAACAAAATACACACGTTAGTAACTTCGATCAAGGAAAATATTAAATTAAACAATTAAATTAAATAATTGAAATAAGGATTTGGGACCAAACCCTCATAAACTATCAACCTTTCACATCTAGGGCAAAGGCAACTTCAAACTTGGCTAGGTGTCTCTAGAACTAATGTATGCGGAATTTTGTAAGAGGGGAGGTCTAGAAAAAGAATAGAAGAGAATAAACTTCTAACTTTAGAGACA